GTGGGTCCCGCGCCCCCCCGGGCCTGGGCTTTGCCGCTGGAACCATTTTTTTGGCTTTTTCCCCCCTCCCCTCGGGCTGGGCTGCATGGTTGGAATGGCTCTAAGTCGCGCAAGGTTGGTGAAGTCCCAAAGCAAGGTTGATAAGCCCAAGGATGGAACTTAAGGATGGCCAAAGTCAAAATCGGGGCTTAAATCCCAAGTCTAAGTTGGGATTTATACTCCAAGTGAAGACCAAAGCCCTCTGCAGAAAACAAATAATAAACAAATGACAAAGGTAGAGTCCAAAGTGAAACAAAAAGGTGGCTAAGCAAGGACGAGGCCTCGTGGTCTGATGGGGTTAAACATCTAACAAAACATACATGTCAAATTATAATATTAATAATATATATATATATGTATGTATGTGATCATGAGTGATTACTAAAAGGCAAAAATGGCTAGACTATTAGCAACAAAGGTACTTCGTTTGGTTGGCCATATTTTAGCTTTTGTCAAATAACCAAAGTTGATAAATGATTATTTATATTTATATATAATGGTTTGGACGTTAGTAAAGGCCATGAAATGGCCTACATAAACATATAATTATCATATATGAAAATGCTATTATGCTTGGTGATTAATACATGTAAAGGATATAGTAATTTCTTGGCCAGAGCATCGAGTTCTCATGTCACCCCAACATTGGTGGGAGTCTCAACCAAATCAGAAGCTCCAAGTGCACGGCATCTCACTAGATGTCAGATCAAGTCCAAGTTCAGCCTATGAAACTAAGTTCAGAAGTTCCAGCAGAAGTCCCCTTGCAAGTGGTGGAATTCAAAGATGCGAAGACTTGTAGCCAACCTACCAAGGCTTATTGCATCCCATATTCAGAGAAGAGTTTCACAATCCCAATCCCATTCCTATGACCAACCATATGGGTTGGTGGTGGTTGGGAAGTTCTCATTAAATGCCTAGAGCTCCAGAAGGCATTAATTGTGTAAGGATTTTTAATGAAAGCTAGTTGAGGCCATTTACAATCATACAAAGCTCAGTCATCCTTGATCCCAAGGAAGTGAAAGAACCTAGGTTAAAAGGAGGTTCTTTGCTTGACCGATCAATTATTTGATAATAAGTCAGAAGTACAAACACTCACATAATCTTTCCATCTAAGCCATCAAGTGGCTTGGTGGTGGCACACCTACGCATCTCAAGAGAAGAAGGACTGAAAAATCCTTCATTCAGTCTACTTGGCC